TTTTTTTTAAATAAATAAAACTGAATCAAAAGGATATGATTTTTCAAAACTGGATCAAATGCTAGATAAATGTCTACACTTTGGTATCTAAAACAAACTGCCAACTTCATATTTTGAAAAAGAAGCTCCTGGGGCACCCAGGTAGCTCAGTCAGTTAAGCATCTGACTTTGGCTCAGGTCATGATTTCACAGTTTGTGAGTTCAAGCCCCATGTTGGGCTCTCTGCTGTCAGCACAGAGCCTGCTTCATATCCTCTGACCCCCTCTCTCTGCCCCTCGCCCCCCCTCTCAAAAATAAATAAACATTAAAAATAAATAAATAAAAAGAAGCTCTGGTGGTCCCTGCTATGGTCTTCCCCATCTCAGTAAATGGCAACTCAACATTTTCCAAAAACCTGGAAGCCATCCTTAGCCCTTCTCTTTTGTCTCCCACTACATACCCAACCCATTAACAAATCCCACTGGCTCTGTCTTCAAAATACATCAGTTGTTACCTTGGGGGAAAACAGACAGGTATTGACTAGAAATCTGTCTTGATCTGAGCATGGAACATATAGGTGGACGTGTTTGTAAAACTCCATCAAGTGGCGCCTGAGTGGCTCTGTTGGTTAAGCATCCGATGCTGATTTTGGCTCAGGTCATGATCCCACGATTTGTGAGACTGGGTCCCCCAGCACAGAGCCTGCTTGGAATTCTCTCTCTCCCTCTCTTTCTCCCCTCCCCTGTGCGCACATGCACATGGTCTCTCACTCTCTCTCGCTCAAAATAAACAAAAATTAAAAAAAAAACTCCAGGGGCGCCTGGGTGGCTCAGTCGGTTAAGCGTCCGACTTCAGCTCAGGTCACGATCTCACGGTCCGTGAGTTCAAGCCCCGTGTCGGGCTCTGTGCTGACTGCTCAGAACCTGGAGCCTGTTTCAGATTCTGTGTCTCCCTCTCTCTCTGACCCTCCCCCTTTCATGCTCTGTTTCTCTCTGTCTCAAAAATAAATAAACGTTAAAAAAAAAAAATTAAAAAACAAAAAACAAAAAACTCCATCAAGACTAATGCACTTTGCATATTTTACCCTTATACCTCAATAAATTAAAACACACATACGTACAGAATCACACCCCTTTCACTACCTTCACTGCTATCACCCTCATCCAAGTCACCATATTCTCTACCATCACTCACCTGAATTAATGCAATAATCTCTTAACATATCTGTGCTTCTACCCCTGCCTTTCCCAGCTAATCTTTTCACAGCCAAGCAGCTAGAGTAACCCTTAAAAACAAAGGTCAGGGGTGCCTGGTTGGCTCACTTGGTTAAGCGTCTGACTTTGGCTCACGTCATGATCTCACAGTCCATGAGTTCGAGCCCTGCATCAGCATGAGTGCTGATAGCTCAGAGCCTAGAGCCTGCTTTGGCTTCTGTGTCTCCCTCTCTCTCTGCCCCTCCCTCACTCACACTGTCTCTGTCTCAAAAATAAAATTAAAACATAAAAAAATTTTTAAAAAAAGAAAAAAGCAGAAACAAAAGTCAGATAGATCATTCCTTGGCTCAAAACTCTCCAGTGACTTTTATTCTAAATAAAATGACCTACAAGGCCCCTGCTACTATTCTCCTCTCTTGCTCTGCTTTTTCTTTCTAAAGTAAGTTGAAGAATTTTAAAACTACACAGGTTAAACTGAAAAGCTCATGACTGCCCAAATGCACTATTATTCCCAAATAGTTGATCTGTCCTCTGCCTCCAGGAAAAAAAAAAAGATTACCTGTCCCAACAGTTTCATATAATTCATAGTATTTGAGAAGTTCATCATAATCTTTCATAGTCCTCCTGGAAGTTTCTACAAAATTACAAAAGGAACCTGTAAGACAGAAATAGTACATGACCGAAAAAGGAACTACTATGAGATTACCTTATAAGTGCAAATATAAATAAGTCTTAGGCATATAAATGATACCCAAAAAAAACCTGATTTACTATATGGTAAAAAACAAACAAACAAACAAAAAACCTGGATTCCTGTCTCATACCACACATAAAAATCAATTCTAGATCAAGCAAAGACTTATATATGCAAGATAAACTTTAAAAAAATTTTAAAGAATATTGTCATGATTTCAGGACAGAAGAGAATCTTTTAAATAAAGTGTTAATCATAAAAAAAATGTTAAAATTAAGAACTTTTGCCCATTTAAAGACATCCTTAAAAAAAACGAAAATCATAAATGTGAGAAAATATTTGTAACACTTATAAACAATGGGTTTTTATCCAGAACATACTATATACAATATAGAAGGCAACCCAAAAGAAAAAATAAGCAAATGAAATAAAAAGCATTTCATAAAGAAACACAAAGGACCAATAAAAACATGAAAAAACATTCAATTTTATTAGTTATCAGGGAAATGCAAATTAAGATTCCAATGATATACAATTAAAAAAATATATGAGATACATATTTTATTGCTATGCTGAACTTATGTATGTTACATATACAGTTGATCCTCGAACAATGCAGGGGTAAAGGGCACCAACTCCCTTGCAGAGTTGAAAATCCACATATAACTTTTGACTACCCTAAAACTTAACTACGAACAGCCTACTGTTGACAGGAAGCCCTATCAATAACATAGTTAATTAGCACATATTTTGTATTTCATATGCATTATACACTATATTCTCACAATAAAGTAGGCTAGAAAAAAGAAAATTGATTAAGAAAATCATAAGGAAGGGGCATGTGGGTGGCTTAGTCACTTAAGTGTCCAACTCTTGATTTTGGCTCAGGTCATGATCTCAAGGTTCGTGGGATCAAGCCCCATGTGGAGCTCTGTGCCCTGTGTGGAACACAGAGCCTGCATGAGATTCATTCATTCATTCTCTCTCTCTCTCTCTCTCT